AGTTAAAAACATATAAGGCAATTATTCTTCACCAAAACAGCAAGAAATCCCGAGATATCGTCTGTCTGAGTCCCAAACTCGTCGAGTAGCAATCTGAACTCGCCGAGTAGGGCCAACTCGCCGAGTCCAGATACTGACTCGCCGAGTTGGTTCGGGCAGAGGCAAGAAAATCGTTTTTCAGCAAGAATTCGACAATTGCATCACATACAACATAAACCAATCATGGCTCTGATACCACTGATGGGTTTTATGCAAAAGAACAATCCTATGTGCTCATACAAACCCTAATGCTTGGATCTAGGTTTCTCTATTGTACATGAATTGAATCCAAGACTTGCAAACCCTAATCTAGCATACATAATTCGAAAATTAACTTAATACATCAGATCTAGATGTTTACCTCTTCAAAGATTGGCTTAGATCTTCTTATCTTCTTCTCTTGAGCTTAGAGTCACAATTGTAACTCCTCTAATGGATCACAAACACCTCAAGCAAGAAAGCAAATTTGAAAGAGGAGGGAGGATGCTAATTTTCGGCCCTAGGGTTTCTCTTGGAAGAAAGTGGCCGAAAATTAGAGCCTTGGGGTCTTATTTATAGTGCAAGCTGCTAGGGTTTCAGTCTAAACCCTAATGGATACCTTAGCCACCAAGTAGCCCAAGGAACCTTCTGGAATAAGGCCCTTGGACGAAAATATGATGATCCTTCATCATAATTTCGTTTTCCCTTAGTCCATTAGGTTTCCCAGCCCAAAACTCAACTATCACACATTTGACAGTTTATGCCCCTTTATTTAATTAATCTCTTTTAGTCACCAAATTAATTCCTAATTAATTTATGACTAATACTAATTAAATAAATATGATTTCTCCTTTAATATATTATTCTTATAATATATCAATAAACCATAATATCCTCTCTCTCATATCAAATTACCTTGTCAAGTTGTTTTGGTGAAGGCAACCCAAAAGGACCATGCATAACCGGGTCAAGTACATACCAAATATAGTTACAAGCTTAGACACTAATCCAACATAACATTGTAACAATGCTGACAAATTCACATTCAAACGGAATAATAGAGTAAAAAATGATCAAAATTCTAAATTCATATGAGTTTAAACCCAAAAGGAAAATAGACAAATAATTCAACATTTCATAAAACCCAAAATGTATTTAAATGATCAAAATTCTAACCCAAAAAACGAATAGTATGAAACAAAGTAATCAAAAACCAAACCCAAAAACCAAATAGTATGTAAACATAATATGAAATCAATCGTACTCAAACCACCCAACTACTCATATAAAATCATGAAAATCATATACTATTTTTCTTTCTTTGGAATTAACAGTTTTGGCCTGCCTTTTCCAGAAGTACAATTTATCATTGATGTTAATGATCGTTTGGTTGAGGACATTGTTTCCAGATTATCAACATCGTAAAGCTCTTCCAAGTTGTGTTTTAATTCTTCATGTCTGGACACTTTTTTAAAGGATTTCCACTTAGTTAGTGGACTTGTTGCAATGCTTTTATCAATATTCGAATCGGGTGTGACATTATCACCAGTAAACGAAATTGCATCATAAATATAGAAAATAAATTCATATGTCAATCTAAAAGTTAATAATATTTTAAAGTATTTAAAATATTAGATTTAATTATATTATATTTAAAATCTTTAACTTTAATGTGTCTTGACATCCGAATTTCGCCGATAAAACGTTAAACGAATCCGATTACGACGCCTATATTTGTAGTATATAGAAATATGTTAGTTGATCAACTAAAATATAAAAACGAATTTAACAAGTGTACTGTTTGTAGTATGTTTCGTAAAAGAATGTTACCTGTTCGATGTTAATTTTTTTTTTCCAATTCAACAGTGATTTTATTATAAACATTGAAGTTTGAGATTGCATAACCATCAACATTGTTCTTCAAATTATAATGAGAAATTTGAATTTTGAACGCCAACTTTTATCCAAAAGTAATTTCAAAGCAGACAGATAAATCTCCATATTATCCTCCTAAAAATGAAAAAATTAACGGTTATAAAAATAGACAGACAAAAAGTAAAAATTAGTTTATGTAAATGAAGTTAATATCGATAACCTCATTAAACTTTTGAAGCAACTCTTGTGTGTTTTTTTCCAGAAGTTTCTTTGCGTCACGATCAAATAACATAAGTGACACCACGCCGACAAAGTCTTGTACTATAATGGTGATTTTGAAACTAAAACCATTGATATAAACAAATTCAATAATATAAAATTAGAAAATTTAATCGAAGGTTATAATAATATGTATAAAAGAGTTATTGAAAACCTTGGAACAACAGATACGTCTTTGTTTATTCACGTTGAAGTGTAACAGTAAAAAACTTCTTTATCTTGCTTTTGGTCCGTTCCACTAGCTTTGTCATCATGCATTAAAATGACTTTTATGGCTTTCTCTAGACAAACATAGATCAGCACATTAAAAAATCGATATAAAGGGTATAGTTTTGTTTCTGTAACTAAATGAATGAAACTAATATGCTTAAAGTAGATTGATTAATTTTTTCTTGACCTCTCAACAAGAACACAATAATAACAAATAATAAGAACATAGTAAATGCAAGAAATTAAAGAAGAATAAGGAGAACATAGTAAAGTAAGAGCTTGGAAAAAAGAATTGGAGAAGAAGATTGCTCAATAAGAACATTGTAAATCATATGACTCAATCCAAAATCGTAAGAATAACCACTTCAGTGTAATCGTGTATATATATATATATATATATATATATATATATATATATATATATATATATATATATATATATATATATATATATATATATATATATATACACTCCTCGTGCATCGACGACTTGAAAATGAGATAGGACGTATGTCACAACCTTTACCTTTACTGGATTTCCCCATCGTCGATTGCTCCGACCTTATGAAAGAGTTCTCCAAATCTCTTTTGAGCTTCCGATTGAAAATGATAAAAAGTAAGATAACTTTAATCCCAAGTCTTTGAAGCGTTTGTTTTTTTTTCTAGGCCATTATCTTTAATAACCTTTTTGTGAAAATAAGGTTATGAGCCTAAATTTTAGTGTGCATCGAATAGTTGTAAAATAGTTTGTTTTATTTTTTGAAATTTCATGAATCACGGAAAGGGTTTTTGGTGTTTGAAATTATTTATTTAAAATACTTGGGTTTTTTTATATAAGTGTTCATAAATTTATTTGGTATTAACATGCATTTTATGAGAAAGTATTTGAATTACAATATTTAAAACACAATAAATTAATTTGTATGTTTTTAATTATTAAAAATAGTGATATGACAATGGGTTGAGTAGATTTGAAAGATAAATTTTCATATGTTGTTGGTTAGAAAAGAACAAAAGAGAGAGAGAGAAAAGCGTAAGTTGAATGGATGGGTTCGGAGGGAAAGATTTCCTACTCTCGTTAGGACAATTATATAAATGTCACTTATACTAAATTCAGATTACATTAACAATGATGTTAGTATGTTGTGGCGTAGACACACACCCAAAATATGAATAAAATTATGTTTCAATTTTGATGTCATGACATTGTCATATTATTAAGAGATAATTTTTACATAATAATTTTTTTACATACACAACAATTGATGTTTTAAAATATTATACTGTACAACTTTATAATATATAAATTGTTGTGTATGACAAAAAATTGTTTTGTACGAATCACTTTCCATATTAGTAACAACCATATAAAAAAATTACAATTACCCAAATTACCTTGATATTACGTAAAACATAAATTAACTTACGTGCAACATATATAAAACTTTTAAATATTATTTTAACAAAATAAGAGACATTTTATTAAAAGTCATATTATGTTTTAAGTAACTTAATACTTTGTTTGATTAAAAATTTAAAACATAGATCGTCAAACACTAATATATATGTTTATTACAAGAAACTAGGTGTAAAACCCGTGTATTACACGGGTTGATTAAAGAAAATAAAATATTAAAATGTAAATATTAAGTATTTTTAAAAATAAAATTTTGAAATAAGGAATGAAGATCATATTAATTGCAATTTATATAATATTTATTACACTTGATACTTTACATATATAAGTATAAGATTATGTTGCTTTTTAATTTTAAAAATTGAAAAAAAAACCATAAATTGACATGTGGATATTATTTATTTAAAAAATATCACAAAATGACAAGTGTCAAAACTTATCACAGATTGAAATGTGGTAAAATTATCTTCATTTATTATAATAGACTAAGTGTAAAACTCATGTATTACATGAGTTAATTAAAAAAAAATAAATATAAAAGTTTGAATATTTAAGAACTTTGGATTTATAAGAAAATAAGAAAAATAATGAATTATTAAAATTGATTTTTTTATCTTTTAAATTTAAATAAATAAACAAAATAAACTAATGAGCTTTAATTTGAGAATTTTTAAATAAAAAGGTAAGTCCATTGATGAAATTGATATTTATTTATTACTACATTTATTGTAATTATTACATTAAAGTATTTTGTGAAATTTATTAATATAGAAAAACTCATAAAATGACATGTGGAAAAGAAATTAAATCAAAATAACCACAAAATTACATTTGACAAATTGAATGAGAGTGTGACATGTGGCAAAAAAAATCTTCATTTATTATAGTAGATTTTTATCTTTTAAATTTAAATAAATAAACAAAATAAACTAATGAGCTTTAATTTGAGAATTTTAAAATAAAAAGGTAAGTCAATTGATGAAATTGATATTCATTTATTACTATATTTATTGTAATTATTACATTAAAGTATTTTGTGAAATTTATTAAAATAGAAAAACTTATAAAATGACATGTGGAAAAGAAATTAAATCAAAATAACCACAAAATTACATTTGGCAAATTGAATGAGAGTGTGTCATGTGGCAAAAAAAATCTTCATTTATTATAGTAAATATTAGTCGTATTACTTTCCACGAAAATGGTACTACCTTCGCTGCGATATGTACAGTACTTCATGCGAAAGGTACAACATGTAATGCACAAGATAGGTATCGAATAATTTATTAATAGCAAGCAAATTACTAACAAAGAAAACTTGGACGGAGATCCCATTTTTCTAACCGGGCTGTCAGCGTATTAAAGAACCCCCACGAAATTCAGATCCAGAAGTTGCACAAGTTAGGGCTTAGCCGTACAAAAATCAAACAACTTTCCTGCCAAATTCCATACAAATTCACATTCAAGTCGATCGGCGACCGGTGTCTTCTCCGTCCTGATCTCCGATTAGGTCGGTTTCCTGCATCTCTTTACATCATTACACATCTGTCTCATACGTATTGATGTATACAATATTCGCAATCGTGTACAGCTATATATTTTTGAATTTACATATTGCCAAAACCCTAGCGTATACTCTACTTCAGTAAATGTTGCTAATATGTGTTGGATCATGAGATCGAATCCAAGTTATGGTGACTGGTAAAGCTGTTTTGAAGTATAATTACTCAAATAGCTCGCCATTTTTGAGGAAGATAAACTGAATTAGAATTCACATTATATTTTGTTATATTAAGTTGGTACCAATAATGCACGGTTCTTAGTAGATCTCTTTGTTTGATATGGATATAATTAAGGTGTGATTAAGAATCCGGTTGAAATTTGGAACAAATGGATCTGATCTATGCTGATAATACTACCCAAAGTTTCATTAAACTGTTGCTGAAGAAAAATATGTGGAATGTTTGAATTATGTGATCTCAATTTACTTACTAATCATGAAAGGTTCCTAGGAAATCTCTCTGTATGATCTACATATAATATGAATGTGTTCACGAGTCCAATTCCATTGCTTGCATTTGGATTTGAAATTTGAACCAAATAACACAATTCCAATTTCAAACCCTAGATCTGTGCTTGAACTACTGCCTAATGGACCTCCATGAAAGCTGAAATAATAACTTGTTGTTTTAGCTTGCTGATATTTGATAAGACAATGCTAGCTGTAAATATTATTATAGATCAGTATATTTTATTGATTTAAGTTAACATTCCATCTATATGTTTATAGAGCTATACTGAAGACAATTTACCATTTACATTTCAGATAAATTCTTGGTGAGGCAATGAATTTTTTGGGGCTGCGGTCCCAACAGACTGCAGCTCAAGTGTCACAACCTCTACCACCACAACCTCTACCACCACAAGCTCAAGTAGAACTAAGCAATAAAAAGCCAACTACAACATTAGAGGATCTTGTGGCTGAAGATCCATTCCCATTTGTATCTTTGTCTGATAAGTTTGATGGAAGAAGTGAAGGAAGTGAAAGTGAAAATGGCGCATTTGGGGGCTTAAGTACAAAGAATGGAGCACCTATTGTGGATAAACACATAGATGTTTGTGAAAAAGAAGGATGGATCACCATTCCACGCAGTACTTCCTCACCATTCTCTTACTACATTTTATTTTACACATAGTTTTTCTTATATGCATGCACATGTATGCATCTTTTAAATGTACCATATACTGATTTATAATTGATTAATTGGTACTCATCACTTTTGCAGAGGAACTTCCTGATAGTTGGAATGAAGAACCAGATATGCTATCTTTTAAAGCTTTTGATCGCCCCTTTGTTTTCCCAGGTACCCATTCTCTTTTGATTTAGTTTTAGACATAGAGCTATAGAGGTCAATCTTTTTATCTGTAAAGGGAATTTTTTTTCCCTGTAATTTGTCATTTCAATCAATGAGAATTACATTCCCCTGAATATAACTGCTCTAACTTTCTTTTTCATATAAAATACTACATGTTTTCTTATTTACAGGAGAACAGGTTCATATACTAGCATGCTTATCTGCATATAAACAAGACACAGAAATCATTACACCCTTCAAGGTTGCTGAAGTAATGAGTAAAAATGGCATAGGCCCAAATGCCAAAAAGCAAAATGGTGAGGTCAATGGGTCCCCTGTTTCTGCAGCTACAAGTCCTGATGCACATGGTACACCTCAACATGCTAATGACATTTTGGATGAAAAGACTGACCCAAAAAAGGATCTTTCCACTGGTGAATCTCTTCTCAGAATGCAAGATCACAGAAGACAAACCGAAATGATTCTGCAGAGATTTAGGAATTCCCATTTTTTTGCTCGAACTGCTGAGTCAGATGAGCCACTTTGGTCAAAAAGAAAAACACAGGAAACGTTTAGAGAGTCAACAGAAATGATTGGAGGGAAGTTTACTACATATGATGTGGATTCCAACAAGGGTTCTGATAAGAAAGCCCTTTTGAATACTTCAGTTGATAGAGGAAGTCTTGATGGAAGTACTTCTGGTGGAGTTGCAAGAAATGGATTTAAATGTAGCTCATTGGCTAATGGAGATATAGTGGTATGTTTCTGAAATGAGGTGCATGACTTCTTTATTATAATTATCTCATTGTTTTGTGTTTGGTATGATGGAATCGGAGAAAGAATGGAATGTTTCATTCCATTCCTTTCCTTTTGCTATCCAAACAAAGGATGCAATCAGCCAATGATTACTGATTTGCATTCCATTTTCTTGTTTGGAAGGATGCAGGTGCTTTTACAGGTAAACATTGGTGTAGACTGTTTAAAAGATCCAGTTTTAGAAATCATTCAATTTGAAAAATATCAAGAGAGCACTCTACATCACTCAACTACAGAATCCCTAATTCCCTCAAGTCAAGATCCATGTGGAGATTTATTAAAATGGTTACTCCCTTTAGAAAATTCCATTCCTTCTCCATCTCCTTCATTAACTCCCCCTCAAATGAACTCTTCAAGTGTTCGTACCTCATCAACAAAAGTCAACCCTTCCGCCACATCAGCATCCCCTATATTTTCATTTGGACACTTCAGAAGCTATTCCATGTCAGCAATTCCTCCTAGTGCTGTTCCTGTCTCACCCTCTAGCTCTATGTCAAGCATTGACTTAGAAGATCAGGATCAGTTCTCAAGTAGAAAGTCAAAGGATGAGAAAGGTGAAGCTGAAGGACTTTTATCTTTCCGGGGTGTACCCCTGGAGCCTGAAAGGTTTTCTGTTCGTTGTGGATTAGAAGGGATTTATATTCCAGGGAGAAGGTGGAGGAGAAAAGTGGAAATTATACAACCTGTTGAGATCTCTTCCTTTTCTGCTGATTGTAATACAGAAGACCTTCTTTGTGTTCAGATAAAGGTCCAACCTTTCTTCCCTAGCTCTATTGGGCCCCATTTTTTTTAATACTAATGTCTTCATTTTTTTATTTTTAGAATGTTTGTCCTGCACATGTGCCAGATATTGTAATATATTTGGATACAATAACAATTATACACGAAGAGGCTTCCAAAGGTGGACCTCCTTTATCTTTACCAATTGCATGTATTGAAGCAGGAAATGATCACAGCTTGCCAGATTTAGCCCTCAGGTCATTAACATAGTTTTAAAGATATCAAAGTTAGTTTTGCATTCTAAAATAGTTGTTTTTCATAACAGGAGAGGAGAAGAACATTCCTTCATTCTAAAACCTGCAACTTCATTATGGAGGAACAGTAAAAGTCAAAGTGATAGGAATCTTCGGTCAACACAATCACATTTTGGACATGCAACATCAAGTGGTCATGTAGAACGTGGTGATAAGTATGCAGTTTTAGTATCATGTCGCTGCAATTATACTGGTAATCATGTTTTATGCCACTATTTCTTGTGTTTTTATATTATTAAAAGACAAAAATTCATAATTGGTCTCTGTGCTTTGCAAAATATTGCACTTTGAGGACTTCTATGAAAAACGTCATGCTGCTGGTCCCTGTGGTTTCTAAAATTGCATGAATGGTCCTTCTGTTGTCAGCTTTAACTTTTGAGTAGTTAGTTTTTTTTTCTAAATGACCAAAATGCCCTTGGACCAAATCTAAAAATTGTGTATACCTTAAGGATCAATTATGAAAATTTGAAATTTTATATATATATATATATATATATATATATATATATATATATATATATTAACTACATATATAAGCTTGAAATATATATATATATATATATATATATATATATATATATATATATATATAATTTTCATAATTGATCCTTGAGGTATACAGAATTATTAGATTTGGTCCAAGGGCATTTTGGCCATTTAGAAAAAAAAAACTAACTACTCAAAAGTTAAAGTTAACACCAGAAGGACCATTCATGCAATTATTGAAACAATAGGGACCAGCGGCGTGACGTTTTTCATATAAGTTCTCAAAGTGCGATATGTTGCAAACCACAGGGACCAATTATGAAATTTTGTCTTATAAAAAATCAATAACTGACATAGTTTGGATGCAGAATCTAGGTTGTTCTTCAAACAACCAACAAGTTGGCGTCCACGTATGTCAAGGGATCTGTTGATCTCAGTTGCATCTCAAATGTCAAGGCCAAATCTTGGTTCAGATGAACGAGTTCTTCAATTACCTGTTCAGGTTTCAATCTAAAAAAACGTAGTTCATGATTATTATATTAATTAATGGCTAGTTCATGTTTTATATGAAAAGTGATTTATTTATGTTATGGTTTTACAGGTTTTGACACTGCAAGCTTCAAACCTGACATCTGAAGATCTGACACTAACAGTGCTTGCTCCAGCCTCATTTACTTCTCTTCCATCTGTTGTCTCATTAACTTCAGCACCCGCAACACCATTAAGCCCAGAAGAAAAGTCAACAAAAGTCAACGTTGACAGACACAATATTGCCATGAAGAGACTCAGTTCAGCTTTAATAGAAAATCAAAGACGCAATGATGAAATTGGGCGTCAAACTGGCATTGGAGCTTTCTCTTTCAATGAGCAACCAATTTCCATCACTGATGTGCTTCCAAGAAGTGATTTGGGATGCACACATCTGTGGTTGCAAAGTCGCGTTCCATTAGGGTAATAATAATAATAAATATTACTTTTTTTTTTCCTCGTGATTTTTAGTTTATTATTTATTTATTTATTTTGATTGAAGGTGTGTTCCTTCGAAGTCTACAGCTACTATTAAGCTTGAGCTACTTCCACTTACAGACGGGATTATTACACTAGATTCTTTACAAATTAGTGTTAAGGAGAAAGGTATGTTATGTCATCATCTTATATAATATTCCTGCTTATAATTAATCTAAAAGCATAAACATGATAGTGAGAATAAAAATATAGGTGTAACGTATATTCCGGAGCACTCACTCAAGATAAATGCAACTTCCAGCATAAGTGCTGGAATCCTCTAAGTCTCGGACCATAATGCATATATACTCCAATTTGGATGGATGTTATACGCTCTATGAAGATCATTACATGCTACTCTCAATATATATGTATCTGTGATTGAAATGTAGTGTCTTTTTTTGTTTAAGGATGAGTCTATAAAAAGTTGTATGATTTGAGTTTTTTTTTTCTTTTGTTTTTTAAAATGTATGTGGTGACCAGAACAGAAAAAAAACGCTCAATTGGTGTGTGGAATCCAAAGAAATACCTGTACATTTGTGTTTCGGAAAATGTTTGTTGGGACCAATTTTTATATGATTTTCGTAGAATCAGTACTACTGTGATAAACTTAATAGGTTGGACATTAACTTGTTCTCACTCTTTTATTTGTTTAAAAGATGTTAATGTCCTCGTCTTTTCATGTGTTCATGTTGATAAGACAAAAGTAAACAAAAAATAGCCATATGTTGTCATTCGTCTGTTTTTGCAAGCTGTGATTGGAGATAAAAGGGTCCACACAACCGTTGTGCCATTGACTTAGGGAGGGAAAGCAGTTTATATGTCAAAAAGTTGAAATGGCAATGGGTTATCTTGAAGAAGACATCACTCGTTATGTCATACTGACTTTTTTTTCTTTTTTTTTTTTTTTTTTTTTTTTTTTTTTTTTTTTTAACAAAGAATTAATGTATTGGGTATGATGATGATAAATTTTTAAAATAATAAATCTAGTTTTATAATGAAATGATTTTGATTATAGTAAGCATTCCAGCTTAATTTATTAAATTTTCAACGAGTTTAACATGAAAAAAATAGAAAATGCGTTGCCATAAATGGTGAAAATCAGAAATTATGTTGCTATAAAAAAGCAAAAAAAAATGAAAGTTCGTTGTTGTTTGTTAAATATGTTTCCTTTTTGTTGTGTGCAAGAGATCTGAGAATAAGACCCGATATGTTGTGAGTTTGTGTCCGTATCTTATATTCTCTTCAATTTCAATTCCTTATTTAATTAATATAATTACCTATTACATATAAATATATAATATTTTTAAATATTTTATATATTCATTACATATAGTGGTTCACTTGAATTATGTATAAGGTGTTTTACAACAAAATCGAAACCAAACCATTGCACTGTGATTAATGGAAATACATAACCACACCAACGTTTTTAATAATGGTTATGTTATAAGGGAGGAGGAAGTCATTCCCTCCCAACCCACTGAACCCACTGTCACATCATTTTTTTCTCTTTTATTTTTCTTCATCTTTCCCAACCCACAACACACGGAAAACCCTATCTTTTTGAACCCATTCAACCACTCAATTAAAAAAAATACAAAACAATCAAAGATAAAATCTTAATTAGCAATAGAGTTATCGGCGGTACCACTCCCGCTTCAACGGGTTGGTTGATTGGTTTCACTAACCCACTTCATCATCTCTCTCTCTACTTTATCTTTCTCATTTTCTCTTGTACCATGTGTTTTAAAACTTGTATCTTAGTTGTTTTGTATTTTTTTTTTTAATTGAGTGGGTTGAGAAAGATAGGATTTCCGTGTGTTGTGGGTTGGGAAAGATGAAGAAAAAGAAAAGACAAAAATTGATGTGGCAGTGAGTTCGGTGGGTTGGGAGGGAACGACTCCCTCCTTAACAGATATGCTATATGAGTTAATTCGGTTACGGTTTCATTGGTATATTTCGCAGATAGAACAAAAGAAATTAATAGTTATGTTTAGAAAAGATCAATTTTTTCCCTGAAGAAAAAAAAACTTATGAGAGTTAGTTAGGTTTGTATTTTAAAAAGCCCTATATTTTTTCCCCTAAATCTCTGATTATAATGATCGAGGAAGTTAACCCTTATTAATGCTTATTATCGTTAAAAGACAATTATAATTCTCATTTTGGGGAGTGAATATTCATTTAGAATCCGTAAAAATTCTAAATTGTCTAATTCTTTATTTATTTATTTACTTGTACTTAGGCAACTTTTATATAGTCAATCACAGCCCAATTAATAAAAAATCCAATCCATAAAATAAAGATTATAGAATGCAAAAGCACCATATGATGAATTGGGATACTAGTAATGGTTGATTTCTTAAATAAAATAATTGACAATAATGGAGGTTGAGAATAATTATTTAATTTATATTAAACCAATGATAATATAGATATAAAGTAGGCCATTTTAATACTTATAAATGGGTTAGACTTATTAATTATGAAGTAGGTTTCACTATTTAATCCAAAGGTGTCAGTTCTTGCGTGTATTTGAAGACAACTTTTTTTTTTTTTTAATACATTCACACGTATCAAAATTAACAATTTGTCCATTTTTATAGATATTGTAATGCTTGTTTTAACATATAATTTGAAAACAGGGTCACATACATATGACAATACCATAAAATGTTTTAGGTTAACCATTACTTTGATTTTTGTCTACTTCATGACTGTTTACTTTCGTTTATGTTAGAACCATATTATTATAGAATTGATCTGTCCATCAAATTTCGACACAATATATAAACACAATAAAAAATTATTACTGGTTGATGATATTATACATTGCTGCTTTGCCCAAATGATGATTTTTATTAAATAGATGAAAACCAACGTATGTTACTATTTCGTTTTAGATAAGTAAACCACATTATACAAACTGATCTAAAGTATGTTATTGTTATGTGCACTTAACCGATAAAACATATTTTTTTAAATAGAGTAAACTGCAAATTTGGTATTTTTGGTTTGCTGAAAACTGTTGGATAAGATGTAAAAAAATTTCAACTTGCATCGTTGGTACAAAACATGAAACATTCCTTAAGGTCATTTGAATAAATAAGTATAGACTCATTTATTGTTTAACATCCCTAAAAGGTAGTTGTTTGTTTGTATACATCGTCACTAATACAACTCTCAGAGACACAGAAAACCCTCTTCCAAAACCACTTGTTCTTCTTCTTTTCTACATGGAATTTATTAATAATGATGAAAATATGGTCCACCACGCCATCCACTCAACGCTTTGATGCAATGATGCAATGATGATATATGGTAAGAAGCTATCTTTTAATGAACTACATATCATAACTGAAAATCCAACTATAAAATAATAAATTTGATATTTTCTTGTTTGAAGATGGACATTCCACCATGTTTAGTATTGAACTCCATCCTGATGGTAAGTTCACAAAACTGTTAGGTTTTTATTTAAAAACTAGTTTTAAAAACATGATTTTTATCAACGGAAGACTTGATCATTTTGAATAACATAAACAAGTTTAAACCTACCAAAGGATCTTCTAGCAAAGTGTGGAAAGAAAACAAACACAACCAAAGAAGAAGAAGAACAAATAATAACCTTTGTAGTTCTTTGGATCATCTTGGGAGGCTTAGAAGTTGATGAAGAATGATGAACTTTAGAGACACCAACAAGAAGCCAACTTGATGTAGATGCTAGTCTAAAACTCTTAACTCTTAGGCTTGAAGTTCATAACCAAAGAATGAACTTCAAGAGAGTATAAAAGCAAGTAATATCTTCATAAGATGATCAAAAGTGAGAGAGAAACCCATGCATGATGCATGTTACGGTTTTGGGGGGAGAAGAGAAGCAATCATAAGTGAAAGCCTTTCTCACATATATATATATATATATCATGCACAATATTCATGGGTCTTTAACCATTAAGCACATATGCTTCTACTAGCTAGAATGTCTCTCATGCTTCTTACTCCCTCCGTCCCAATATTATTGTCCACAGACAAAAAAACACACATATTAAGAAAAACATTAATTACCACTAACTTTATTTAATAAAATGACAGTTTTTGTCCTTACTTTGCATTTAATGTTCCATTAAATGCTTAGTTGGTTAAATAATAATGAGGGGGTATTTTGATAAAAATGTTATTTATTTTTAGAAGTGGACTATTATTTTGGGACAAACCAAAAAAGAAAGATGGACTATAATTTTGGGACGGAATGAGTATTACTTTTGATTAAATAAGTCAAAACCCCATTCCTTTGTCTCATTGTCAATTTTCGGCCGTACCTCAAAAAGGAAGAAAAAAAGGAAGAAGAATGATTTAAATTTTATAAACTCTAAGTTTATAAAATATAAACTTTGTGTTTAGGAAAAAGACAAAAAGTTTCAATTAGTCCAAAAAGTGGTACATGACTTATTAATTCATACAATATGAAATAATGTGTTACTTGCTAATGAAAATTATTATTTCCTAGAAATAAATAATTTCCAATTAATTATAAGAGTTTATTGAATATTTATTAAAATCAATTTCTAATAAATAATCAATTATATCAAGTTGTTGTTAGTGAGACCCTTTAGTATCATATGTTAATTAGCAATATCACTTTAATATGATTCTTGAGCATACTAGATCTTTCAAAAATTCCCCGAACTAGACTCAATAATGGAAGTATTAAGTTGCATTGTACCCACAATCATTTAATACCATTTTTGTTTGTCCAATAGTGACTTGGATTTTGGATCTTGAGCTTGTAGGCAACAATGATTATGTGTGTAATCTTGCACAATACTTGAAGGACACCAAAATAATTTGGTAATACACAAAGCCCCCTGTCCTTATTAGTCATGAGAAATCCATATCTCTTTGGATATTGAGACACTTTATCATATTTGTGAATGCTTTGTGTTTGTTATGGAGGCTATGGAACCATTTGTAAGGTCTCACAATGTTGTTCATCACTGCTTTTCATAAAGTATTGCATTTTGTGGTTCTTGAATTTCAGCATCTGTTGTTCCTACTTGTTTCCTATAACAAGAGAATTTTCTTTAAAAATTCAGCCCTATGTACAACACTTTGTGCTTGACCGAGGTATAGAAGTAGTATCATATCATTCCATTTGGGTACCCTACAAAACACATGTGTTAATCATGGATGCTTGTTTTTTAAATGTCTCACGTTTCACGTAAGTTTCTCAACCCTAAACCTTCAAGTAAGATAATGTGAATTTATTTACTAACAATCAAATTCTTAATATATAACCAATCTGTGACAACTTAATAAAGTGTGACCCTTTAAGATTATATGTTATTGGCAAACATCATTCTAAAATGATTGTCGAGCATATAGATCCAACACCTACCAAACCGATTCTTTACTTAATTGTGAAAAGATTTGAATATTTCAAAAGCTTCATGTTTATGTCTAAACATGTAGACATAACCATATCTACTGAAGTCATTAGTAAATGCAATGAAGTAACTGTATCCATCTTTAACAGTTTAAAAGGTCCATAAACTTACGTATGTATGAACCCTACTAGATCTTTGGCCATTTCACTGATACCGAAGAACAAAGCCTTTGTTATCTTTCTAAATAAAGTATCTGACTTATGGCCACTTGATTCCAAAATTCCTTCCGACTAGAGTTTCGTAATGCATTTCTTGTTTATATCTCAAAGACGACGATGCCATAGATATTTTGATTTAAGTCATACTTAAATTTTTTAGCATTTAGAGTATATACTAATTTGTTTTTATTTTTTTATTTTTGTTTGAGATATAATTATGCACATCTAGTTCTATCATAACAAGAAATAACATTAAAATAAAACAAAATTACAAAATATATCCTAAAAACCACCCTCAAGTTTATAAATATTTACATGGATGGAAGGCTGCCACTTAAAATAGTAAGTTTTTTTTTGTCATATTCTTATTGTACGTAATTTATATTTTTTACATGCACTAACAACTTAATTTTAGTTTCTTTCAATTTTTATTGATTTAAGCTATGTTTGATACACCATAACTAACAGATAAACTAGCATATTTTTCGAGTTTTTCTAAGTTGTCATATTTGACAAACCAAAAAATAATTACTTTTATGCTAGTTTTTTAAAAAGCTACTTATAGTAGCTTTTTAAGAGTTTTTTTTTTTTTTTTTAATTTTTAAATTTTTTTTCCAAATATACCCTTAATTAATTATAGAAGACATATTTTTTTAAATGTCATTTTATATATTTCAGCTAGCTTATCAATTAGTTTTACAAAATGTTATTTTTTATCGGTTAACTTTCGGCTATCAACTAGCTTTTCATTTAACAACTAGCTTTTTAACTATCAACTAACTTTTCAGCTAGCAACTAGTTTTTCAACTAGTACGTCAAACAAATACATTGTTATTTTGATAACTAAGAGCCCAAAATGAAAGAAATAATGATACTAATTTATGTACTTCGCCCTATATTTAACTTACAATTTAGTTACACGTAGTAATTAAACTTTTAGTTACATCCAAATTATGATCCATCTTCGGAAAGACCTTGTGAAGTATATAGTAACATTTTTAAAGAATAAAGTTGTTTTTACTTTTTTATAATTGAGAATGATACCAAAAACGATTATAAAACGATAAATATGTGGCTTTAAAATGGTAGGTTGGACATAAGCCTTGAACAGTTTTCCTAACTTACTTTAAATACTATTTTATTACATGAGTTTTTAAGATTTTGATGCCTAACAGTCTATATAGTACTATTAAACTATTAATCATTCGGTTATAAAGAGCGGGTGAAAATATGATTTATCGAATTTCTGAAAGTAGACGATTATCTTGAAAGTGAACTAGGGAAGATATTACTTTCTCGATTACCATCTTTTCTTTATAATTTTTTTTTTTTTTTCTTACTACTCATTCTTTTGATGTGATTTCAATACCTTTTGGGAATGCTAGGTGGTAGTGGTTGCTTTTAAACTCTAATCACATTTCATACAACCCGAATTCTCTGAGTTCTTCTTTTCAATCGTTTCTAAAGTGTTTCTATCTCTGATCTAAATCTTTTTCTTGACATTTGTATAACAAATTTCCCTTCTTTTTTCAAATTTCTGAATTGGGTCTCTTGAATTTTAACTAAAAAAAATCCAATCTTGGTGGGGTTTTCTTGAAAGAATCTTGTGTTGTTGTGTTGTACACAAGTCAACATTCAGTCTCTTCTGGGGTTGCTAATTTCATCTTTTTCTTGGTTTTCAATCATACCAACTTACCAAGTTTGATGATTTTTAGGGTTTATTGTGATAGATGAAAAATGTATAAAGTTGGAATCTTTTCACATGGGGTTTGTTAATTTTATCCGTTTCTTGGCTTCCAATCACTAATTTCATCCAAAAGTTTGGCATTTTGGATACAAATTTGGGGGTTTTGATGATACCAAGTGTGAAAGATGAAATCTGTTGATGAAAAATGTATAAAGTTGGAATCTGGGCATGTTGTAGAATCGAAGACGAACACCAACACTGGATGTTGGAATCGATGGAGACTAATTGGCAGCTGTGTTTCTTCAAGATCTAAAGTCGAAAACTCCATTAGTGGCATAACCACTCATTGTGGTAAACCAGTCTCCCAATTTTCACACAAAATTTCACAAATTGATCAAATAATTTGCTTAAATTTATCTGTTTTTATGTAATACGACAGTGGAAAGCAAGCTGAAGATTGATGAACCAGTTGTTCCGATATTTTCATCGACTACAAGTAATAACGAAAGCAATCCATCGACCCCAAAACCGGAAGATGAACTGAAACTTGATTCTAGGCTTCGGATATTTGGTTTCAATGATCTGAAATTGGCTACGAGGAACTTCCGACCGGAAAGTCTTCTCGGAGAGGGTGGTTTTGGGTGTGTTTTTAAGGGGTGGATTGAAGAAAATGGAACGGCGCCGGTGAAACCAGGCACCGGACTTACTGTCGCCGTGAAAACCCTGAATCACGATGGGCTTCAGGGTCATAAAGAATGGCTGGTTTGTTCATTGTTGTTGCTTTCTATTCCTTTGTTTTAATCTTTTGGTTTTCTCATGATTTATATTTTATTGTTTAACAGGCTGAAGTAAATTATTTAAGTGACCTTATCCATCCAAATTTGGTTAAATTGATCGGTTATTGTATTGAAGATGATCAACGGCTGTTGGTTTATGAGTTCATGCCTCGAGGAAGCTTAGAGAATCACTTGTTTAGGAGTAAGTTACTATTTTTAATGATTTAGAGGGTATTTATGTCTTTAGCACAAGAGTGAGATCGAGCCTCCATTTTGGATGTAGGGATGAAGAGGGTATTTACGTCTTTTGCACAAATAAGAGATTTGAGTCATGTTTCAACTTCTCAATTGAATTTGTCGTATTGACACCGCTCTTTTTCGGTGGACAAAAATTGCAATTTTTGTCTTATTGACGACATCGGTTTCGGTCAAAGTCAAACATAGTACAACTTGTTTTGTTATACCAACATATATATAATATATATACCAATTTAGTATTTGTTGTTTCTAATAAAAGTCTATTGTTATTGTAGGATCTTTGCCTCTTCCATGGTCCATTAGGATGAAAATTGCTCTTGGTGCTGCAAAGGGTCTTGCTTTTCTTCACGAGGAAGCGGAAAAACCGGTGATTTATCGCGATTTTAAGACCTCGAATATTTTGTTAGATGCGGTATGTGATACAAACACTAATCAAACTATCTTGTTTTCTTGAAGTTTTTAATCTCGGGTTTTTGGTGTTCATAAAGATTTGTTTTGTAGGAATATAATGCCAAACTTTCGGATTTTGGTCTTGCAAAAGATGGCCCCGAGGGTGATAAAACTCATGTATCAACTCGAGTCATGGGAACTTATGGTTATGCAGCCCCCGAGTATGTAATGACAGGTTTGCACTTTAACCCTTTTGTTAGCCATTTTGCTCAAAGAAGTAATATTTGACCTAATTATTTTGTGTTTTTGTATATTTCTTTTAGGTCATCTTACTTCAAGAAGTGATGTATATAGCTTTGGTGTCGTTTTGCTCGAAATTTTAACTGGTCGAAGGTCAATGGACAAAAACCGTCCAAACGGTGAACACAACCTCGTAGAATGGGCCCGCCCACATTTAGGTGAGAGAAGGCGGTTTTATAAGTTAATAGACCCTCGACTTGAAGGCCATTTCTCAATAAAAGGAGCCCAAAAAGCCGCACAACTAGCGGCCCGTTGCCTTAACCGTGACTCGAAAGCCCGACCTCTAATGAGTGAAGTTGTTGAATGCCTAAAGCCGCTGCCAGCCCTTAAGGACATGGCAAGCTTATCGTTTTATTTCCAGACTGTTCAACTTCAAGCTGAACGGTCTGGGTTGAGCCCGAGTGCACAAAATGCAGTTCGGGCTCAAGGGTTGTTTTTAAGAAACGGATCGCAGCATCCAAGGAGCCTATCCATACCTAATGGTTCTTATGCTTCTCCTTATCACAACAAGTTGAACTTGAAGTCACCAAAGCCTAATGACAATGAGAAAAAGAACAATAGCACATTGTAAATTATTATCATTTTTTTAAAAAATTTCTGATTTACTTCTAGTTTTCCAAGTAATATAAATATATTTCTTGGTTGTTCGCGGTTTGAAACGCAATTAAAAAACATGAGAAACAGGATTATAACAAATTTGATTCGTTTGTTGCAACTGAAACGGACCTTATCACACTAATCGCTAATTTACTAGTTAATGTTTTCAAATATGATCAAAATTTTAGCTTTTTTTTTACTAAAAATAATCAATCACAACAAAAAAAACCCAAAACCAAAAAAAACCCAAACCCAAACTCGAATAGTCTACGACTGTGTTGTTCGTCCTAAAACGACAGAAAAAATAAAATAAACTAAAAGACGTGCCCTTTTCCCAATTTGAGCAAAAACGTCAACTACATTTAATTACAAATAGTTAACCATTTCATCATGTTTACTTGAGAAACAACTTCACATTTGTTGCTAGTAGTTTATTCTAATTACATGTTTGATTATCATCGAATCACTTGTGTTTTGCCTCAAGCAACTCTCCTATTTAACTGATCCATCGATGTGCTCTCAAATATTTTATCAGCGTTACCAACTTCAAATCCATCTCGTCTATGAACCTCTTGAACCTAAGTTTCAAAACCAATCAATCATTATGTTAAAACTCAAAAAATACAAATACAAAACAAACAAACAAACTTTAAAATGCTAACCTTATCTTCGGGTAAATCTTTGTATTCGGGCAACACAATGCGCTCAGCAAACTCGATATATGAACACGGGACCGATTCTTTGATGCCATCGGAGAATTCAAACGGGATCGAGTCTGCAACCGTTGAACTTTGCAACAATAGAGCATCTGGGCTCACTGGTACAAGAAAATCATGTAAGATGTAAATCAGATACACAACAGCCTTCCAGATGAGACATAAAAAAGAACTAACCTTTGAGAACGCCCCCTTCCGAGTTCAACTTGAACCCTTTGTCCTCAATGAACTCGTTAAAATTCTTGATGTTTTTCAAGCGAGATTTGAGCCTATGAGTTGATATGGTGACATGATTTACCATGTAACCATTGACTAGAGTCCATGCAGCATACTCACTTTCACTAGAAGTCAAACATAACAAAAACAAAATTTTAGAAGACTATTCCAGACTGGACCTACTCTACTACTGGTCTGGAGTAGAGTCCGTCCAAAAATAACCGGCGGTTATAGACTACCGGTATAACCGCCGGGCAGACTAGACCAGGTCATATCATGTCCGGTCTAGTCTGAAAAAAAAAGTCAGAAAAGGACAAAAATGCACCTAGCTAATTGTTGGAATTCATCATGTGATGGTTTGGGCCACGTTAAACAACCAAGAGCACTTGAAAGGACAGTATGTTTATGTCCAGCACCCGATAGCCCGGTGTACTTTCTGATTATTTCCTGGAAGCAAGAACACACGCATCAAGATTCCAGACTATGAACACTATGATTAAATTGGTAAAAGTTACACAACAAATCAACAATATCTACTGATTAAAATTATAAAACATTATGAATTTTAAATCAAAACCTGGGCTTGTAGGCTCATTTGATCCACAAGAAGTTCAGAGATGAAGATTCTAGGTAAGGGGCCATGAACACCGCTGCCACCATTAATGGAGGAGACGTTTGGAGGTGAAAACCAGAGAGCTTTCAGCTTCTTTTTTGGAAATCTTAATTCTTCGCGTTGAGTATAACCAAAATCAAGGAAGAACTTTGATATAGAATCGATTCCATAACCATTTACCCCAAACGTCCGATATGCGATATGATCATAGCATATTTGATTAGCATCTGTAGATCCGACAAGCTCCAGGATTGCTTTTGCAGTTGGGTTTCGATTCAAATACACTTGTTCCATACTTGAAAGCACACTTCTGAAGAACGAATCACCACCCTGAATTAACACCAAACACAAATTATGTCCCATCAAATGTTATAAAAGTCACGAAATTAAACTCTTTTTAATTCAAATCTAAACATCGTGTTCCATTTCTAGTTTCTGATTATGTGTATAAATTTGATTCCAAGATTCTAGACTACGCATTCTTGCACAAACGATCATAAATCAAATTATGTAAACAAAAAAATTAACAGTTAAGTACACAAATTACAAAGCAAACACGAGACAAATGCGTACCGAAGATGACGAAAAGTGGGATCCATTAGTGGATTGAGAAGCTGAAACAATCGGAACTTTCAATGCGGTTTTAACGGAATGATTCATGGTTGATGTGAAGACAGTTTTGACGAAAACGGAGGTTCTGGAGCTTGAAGACGATGGATTAATGGAGGACGATCGTAGAGATGAGAAAATTTTGGACGATGATACTGAAGATTGGGAGCGAATTGTCATCATCTTCTTCACGTATCAAAAACCCTTTTGGTGGAATCCGACGAGGATCAGAATGGATGGGTTTAGTAGCGTGACAGATTGGAAAGAGAGTGTCGTGTACGATGTTGAGATGAGCATGCCTTCCTTGTTCTGTTGTGGCATACATATCACCGTCGGTAGGGCTATAAACGAACTGAACGTTCGGCGAACCGTTTGTGAACTGTTCGGCGGGAAGTTCGTTTATGTTCGTTTATTTAATAATTATGTTCGTTTATTTAATAAATGAACGAACATGAACACAAATTCTCGTTCGTTTAGTCAAACGAACGAACATGAACAATGGTCTCGTTCGTTCATTTACGTTCGTGAACGTTCGTTTATGTTGTTCGTTTATGTTCGTTCGTTTAAGTTTTTTTATGTTCATATATTTTCAATTGTTTTTTATTACATTACTATATTATAGTTCTTTTATGTTCATATATGTTCAATTGTGTTTGTTTATCTCTGTTCGTTTATGTTCGTTCGTTTATGTTCGATTAGCATGTTCACGAACATAAACGAACGAACATGAACAAGGAAATTTGTTAAACGAACGAACATGAACAAGAAAATTCCGTTCGTTTATCCGTTCGTGTTCGTTCAATTGTTCGTCTAACTTAAACAAACGAACATGAACAAGCCTCTGTTCGTGTTCGTTCGATTCGTTTACAGCCCTAACCGTCGGCCTTAAACATGGATTGCCCAGAAAGCACCCATAATTCCATAAATCTGATAATACCGGAAAGTTACAAAATAGTCAATATGGTTTAAGCGAATATCACAATTTTAATTTAAATTTTTGATTTGTATCAATTTCGATCCTATTTTCAGTTTTGTCACTTGATTGTTAATCCGATTAATGTTATAATGTTTGGTTGTTGTTCATCATTTGTGATTTTGTGTGTTTAGTTGATTCGATGATTTATTGAACATAAATACTCATATCATATTTGAATTTGACTATTTGAGAACATTTTGTTAGTTTGATTTTTCAAACTAAATTTATACATGCTAATTGATTTCATAATTCGTTCAGTTGTAGCATGTGGATAATCACCTTTTCTCTTTCACTCATTTGAGACCCAATTTTATTAGTTTGATTTCGGAACTATAGTCATAAATTGGTAATTTGACGCCCACTTTGGTTGATTTGATTTTAGAAGCTATTGAATAGTTTATCACTAATCAATTTATTATTTCACTGACAAAAGTACAAAATTGGTCCTTGTGGTTTGCGAAAAACTTTGAATATGATCCAAAACGTTTTCAACTTGGTATCGAAGGAGTAAGCTAATAACCCAATGAGTTCTCAGAATAAAGAAAACCAGATCAAAGAGGAAGGGGGAGAGTGTTCCATGGCTTCTACCTATGAGAATGAATGATCCAAAAAAAAAAAAAACAAAAACAGTAATCGATTTATCCATATCTTCTTTCCAACCAGATTATACGCACGAGGAGACCCCCAAAAAACCTTGGTTCTTCAATTTTTTTTGCCCACTTTCAAGAACAAACGACCATGGACGGAAATTGAAGCTTACATTCAGAAATTCGAAATATACACTGAAATCCCCAAACACTTGAACTCGTCCCTCATTCTTTATGCTAGATCTGATGATGATTTGGAGGTTTGGTGTTCGAAAGGTACAAATCTAAGCTCATCTCCTACCATATAAGAATCACCATCTCTACCCTTATTCCTCGCCATCTTCACCTAAACCTCGAGATAAAAAAAATACTTGGTTCAATGATTTACACCCATAATCCTTTGTTCTTCACAACTTTATTACACCCATCAAAACATGTGATCGATTCAGAGTGAGAATAAAAGAAACTGGCCTAATTCTTTCAGCATAACGATCTTCACACACACTTGGAGGATCGATTGTGTGAGTCACCGTTTTAATGAAGTGTAGTTAGGTATCGTGGTCGTTTTACTGAAGTGTAGTTAGGTATCGTGAGTAATTGTTTTATTTTCTACAAGAAGTAACAAGATGATGACGAGAGAGAGAGAGAGAGAGAGAGAGAGAGAGAGAGAGAGAGAGAGAGAGAGAGAGAGAGAGAGAGTGTGTGTGTGTGTGTGTGTGTGGTGTGGTGGGTTGGGTAGGGATTTAAATTATTTTTAATATTAATAAAATAAGAAAGAAATTAAAAGAAATGTAAAAAAGAAAACAAAATGGCATAATAGTCTTTTCAAGATTTTTTGGACCAAAATCATAGGAAGTTTTTGATTTTGGACATGGATGTCATGCATGTTGAAATTTTTTTGGACCCTATCCAAAGTTTTTTTGCAAACTGCAAGGACTAATTTTATAGTTTTGTTTTATTTCACTAGTTTATAATCCGTGGAGCCACAGTTATAAAATTAATTAAACTTTAGTAGTAAAAATTCAAAATTATTAATCAATTATTTTAAATAAATTATTAATTAAGAGATATTTTTTAGTTATATAAAATTATAATCGTTGATTTAAATAAAATATTTGAAATTATATCACTTTATAATCTATATTAATTTTATTTTAATTTTTATTCTAATGTTATTAATTTGATATAATTAGAGTGAAAAATTTAAAATTTGAAATTGAGAATCAATAGGTTAACAAGTGACATGACATTAATTAGGAGGTCTAATAGAGTGACAAATGAAAAAATAAAAATAAAACTATTTTTTTATTAGAACAAGGAGATATAAAAGTTTCAAAATTAGAAAAATACTGATTAACCGAAAAGAAAATTCACAAATCATATTTTTTTGTTCCGTATACCTTCTCGAAACTTTTCTCTCAATGAAAGTTAAAAGTTTTGACGAAAATTTTTTCATTACTATATTATGAAGTTATGTAGAAAAGGAACATGTTATTATATTTCTAGGTTATAACACATAGAAACCACGATCGGTATATTTAAAATTTTTATATAGATAAAAAAATAATAAATGTAAAAAAAAACCAATATATTGTCGATTGTAAGTAATTATGAATTAATTTGTTAAGAAATAAACATAATAATGTTATTAGGATATGATTTTGTATTTTCAAAATTTGAATTGAATTTGATTTGTTAAAAAAAAAAGGAAATAATAACCATCATAAAAAACTGACATGTGTCATTTTTGGATTTCATTTATTAGAAAATGTAGATGTTGAATTTACTAATTTGAAGGGGCTAAATTTAATAAACTATACATGGCCTTCAAATTATCGGGGCCGCAGCTAGTCCTTGTGGTTTCTAATTTTTTTTCAATGTTAGTCCATCCTACTAACCTTGTCTATAAATTAAACCGTTAAAGGGCGTACATGTGTTGCATGTGAGAGTATTTTCATCCTAAATGATTTCTCACTCCTTAGGGTTGTATGTTACCGTTATGAGTTCTACTAAAAACACACCACTCTATTTTTCCATAGCCCTAATCATTATACTTAATAATAATTGTTCTTACTTTATTAGTGTTTAATCATTATTAATTATATTATTTAGAAATTACATTTTTATTACCAACTAATTTATTATATTATTTTTTGGTTATTTAAATATTTAATTTCAAACTTATTTTTTCATAAATAAGTTAAATAGAACAAAAATATAATATTATTATATTTTGTAAACTATGATATACATCATTAAATGCATTAATACAATATGTTACAAAATGGTTTTACGACATAATGGAAAAAAAAGTTACTTTAATTTTCATTTTCAATTTCGTTGTTTTTTGTTGTCTTGTTTTCATTTTTTTAAGTTAAAGAAACACATAAAAACAAAATAATAATTAAAATTTAAATATTATTATGAAAAGTAAAAATAAAAAAGTTCTATAAAATCATAGTTTTCTTTAAAGTACTTAGCAGTGTATTATTTGATTTAATGAAAATACTCAAAAAAAAATTAGGGGTTTATTTTATGATTTTGTAATTTATTTATAATTAAAAGTTGATTAAAAAATTAATTAAAAATAAAATATGAGAACGAATTCATTAAATATTCCGTTGGGCGATAATGTCGAAATAGAAGACATCAAGTACATCAAATAGTTATACACATATAAACTAAAGATTAGAAATTATATGCCGCCGTCGTTTCTCCGGACCACCAAAACCACCAAATTGTAGTCGTCGGACCACCCTCAGCTACCGAGTTGCCGCCTTGTCGGGCCACTGTTTAATATTATTTATTTACGTATTCCGATTATCTTATGTAAAAGTCCAACGACTGAGGGACTGAATAAGTTACTATTATTATTTTTAATTTTAGCCTTAAGTTTAGAATATATATATATATATATATATATATATATATATATATATATATAGTTAAAATATCTTATAAAGTATAGCATAGTTAATATATAAAAACTAGTTATAAAAGAACATTACAAATATAACAACGATATAAGAAAAAACAAAAGAGAATTATACTATTAGAAAAAGTGGGTAAAGAGTCTGACAAGGAAAAAAATTGAGATAAGAAAAAGAAAAAGAGAAAGCGGCGGAGTCATGAAGGTTCCCAATAAGAATTAGTCAAAATTCTAGATTTTAAAGATTTCTATGACTAAAACTAGATAGGTGTGTACTAGATTGATGTGTAGAAAAAAATACCCTACCCTTTGTAACGCTCCGATTCTCAAGTATTGACTTAAATAAGAATTTCTTTGGTTTTGAGTCCTACTCGACGAGTTGGTTTCCCTACTCGTCGAGTAACAGCGGGGTGGGATCGCGTGTTTAGTGGCCTACTCGCCGAGTCCATTAAGGGACTCGACGAGTAGGAGCTGGCAGATGAAACCCTAAATCCCGGGGTTTTGCACCCTATTTAAGGAAGCATAAGCCTCCTTTGGCCTCTTTACAGTTCTAGAGAGCTCTTAAGAAACCCTAATTCGTGTGGTGCTCTATTGTGTGTGTTTTAAGCTTGGGAGGAAGATCTTTGGAGAGAAGGAACTTGGAAGGCAAGGGAATTGGAGCAAGGAGAGTGTGGGAATCAGAATCTACCTTAGTTGGCATCTTCCAGAGGTATCAAGTCGCCACCTTTACTTCTTTTCCCTTCTAGATCTCTTTTTGGTTGAGTTTGGGGCTTTTATGGACCTTTGAGTTGATAAGGTGGACTATCGGCTAGA